TTGCAGGGACATGAATGGGGCTGGAAGCCATTATCCTTAGCAAACTAACCCAGGAACAGAAAACCAAATCCCACATGTTCTCACTTATAAGTGGGTGCTGAATGATGAGAACACGACACATGGGGAAACAACACACACTGGGCCTTGTTGAAGGGTGGAGGATGGGAGGAAGGAGAGCCTCAGGAACAATAGCTAATGGATGCTGGACTTAAGACCTAGGTGATGGGATAATCTGTGCAGCAAACCACCATGGCCACGTATGTAAGAAAGCTGCACATCCTGCACATGTACCCCTGAACTTAAAATAACAGGTGAGGAAAAAAATTTTTATTCCAATTTCAATGCAAGCCTTGGAGGGTTTTAGACAGGGAAGGGACTGCAACTGATTCTGTATTCTATCTGTAGAAGGTATTTTGGGTGCTTTGTTGAGAATGGGTTGTGGGATAGTAAGAGTGGGGACTGATAGTAAGTGGGGGGAACCACTTAAGAGGCCAGTCCAGCTGAAACAAGAGTCACTGTTGCCATTAAATAGTTTCATCAGATTTTTCCACTAATGCCCTCCTGGCCTTTGAGGATGTAATGCAGACAGAGACTAGCCAAGTCCAGATCCATTTTGTCCCTTTCAAGCTTCTTTTCTCCAACCCACGCCCTATCCCAGCACCCTCCCCCTTGCAAAACATAGGCTCTCATACACGAAAATAAAAACTGATTCAGGTGCACTGGGGAGGGCTGGAGATAGGAGATGAGAGCTGTTGTCATCAACAGCCAGATCGTAATGCCACATTTTGTGGGCATGACACTGTAAAGCCAATACGGATACAGAGTTCAGATCCCCTCTAAGTACCCAGAAAGAACCTATACTAAGTTACTAGTTATTATTATCTAGACTTTATTGAATATTTCATGGGAAATATGAAGACTAGAGCTCACATGGCACACCTAACATATTCCTGTTTTCTCCAAGACCCTCTCCTAGGATAGAAAAGAGATGAAAAAGAGGCATGTGCCAGGAAGGAGCCAGAGCAAACAGGGCCTTCTATGTCATGCTCAGGAGAGATTTTACTTATGTTGGGGATTATGCAACAAATAAGACTCAAACTACACATAGTGGAGGACAGGGCTACAATGACCAAGGTCAGACTAAAGGTTGACTAAGCGTATATGCTTCCTGAGGCTGCTATAACAAATGACCATACACTTAGTGGCTTAAAATTTATGATCTTACTGTTGGGAGGTCAGAAGTCTAGGCTGGGTCAACAGGGCTGGTTCTTTTGGAGGATCTAGGGGAGGACCTGTTTCCTGATCTTTTCCATCTCTGGAGGCTGCTTGCATGTCTTGGCTTATGGCCCCGCCTCAGGTCACTCGGACCTCTGCCTCTGTCATCACATCTCCTCTGACTCTGATGCTTCTGCATCCTAATTTCACCGACCCATCGGCCCATGTGTCGAATGCAAGATAATCTCTCTGTCTCAAGATTGTTCTCTTCATCACTTCAGCAAAGTCCCTTTTGGCATGCAAAGTGGTCTACTTACTGGCTCTGGGAATTAGGACGTGGGCATCTTTGGAGTGGGGGAGTGGGGAATTGTTCTAAAGACTGAAAGCAAAAGTTTGTGCCAAGTTTCATAAGAAATAGTTAAATCCTGTTTCATGGCCTCAGATGGCATCCCAGCTCTGGAGCGGGGATGACCCTGTGCATTGTGTCCCCTCCCCCGGGAAACCAGGACGTGCTTTACTGGGATCATCCTCAAAAAGAGCAGAAAACCTGCTGTGGTATAAAGAAACCCCTGAGCAGGGGTTCTCCTCTCTGCACGAAAGAGGTGTTTGACAAATGTTTGGCACACCCATTCCTCTCAGCATCTGCCTCTTCCCTGGGGCCAGGTCCTTCAACTGGGTTGGGGTTCTGATGACATCCTTTCCTCCCTGGTGGCATTTCTAGACATGTCATAATTTACTCTCTCTGTTCCCCACACTTGGCTGATCTCTTTGTGACAACACGGCTGTCATTTACTGGGCATTTAATACATGAAAAAAATAAAAACTGTATTGAGCTCTTACTATTTGTCAGACACTATATGGAGTGGTTCATATAGATTATCACATGGAATCTTTCCAGAAATCCTATTAGGTAAGTAATGTTACTGTCCTTCATTTTATTAACAGGAAGAGGAGAAAAAGACACTGAGGCACAGAAAGGTTAGGTAACTTGCCTAAGCTCACTCAGCTGGAAGTAGGCAGTCTTCATTGAACTCTGGTCTTCTGACCTGGAATTTATGCTCTTACAAAATTACCCTTCTGTAGTCCCAGATACACGGGAGCCTGAGGTAGGAGGATCATTTGAGCCCAGGAGTTTGAGACCACCCTGGGCAACATAGCAAGACCCTATCTCTAAACAAAACAAAACAAAAAATTACCCTATTTTGGAAGAGGTGAATGGATGAGTGGCAGGATATATGCTGACTGTTGTTAAACAGCATTAGATTAGGTGCTAGAAAGTGCACATGCATATCCTGCTTCACCACTCCTTGCTGGATGACTTGGACAAGTTGCTACCCCTCTCTGGGTCTCAAACAGGAGGGGCTTGCACAGAAAGGAGGGGTTTGCTCGGACACTAGCTTTCTGTGTCTAATACTAGCAGCCTGTTGGTCACCACCCTACCTTGCTTTGATCTTAAAATATGCCCACAAGACGTGGTGTTTGCTGTCACATGGCCATGTACGGTGAGCGGCACCAGGGCTAGGTTCCTGAGGCCCCCTCACGTGGCACAGCCTACAGCTCCCCCATCCCCGGGGCCTCCGGCAAGGATCCAGGCGGCAGCCGGCAGCCGCAAGCATGTGCTGTTTCTGTGGTTTCTACTTAGAACAGTTTCCTGTTTCAACCTGCCAGTTCCTTAAAAGCATTAGCTTGAGGTTTTGCCGAATGACTCCACTCTATTTTCATAAAGGGGTGGAGGGGCTCCTCCTGGGAGCCGAGCCCAGAGCTGAAATTCCACATGAATTAAGGGTGTATAGAACTTGGAAGTCCGTCTCCTGAAGAAAAAATAGCCTGGCTTAGGGTGACTTTCAGAAAGTAGGGAGAGTTCCTCCACCAGCCAGATTCTTGGGCCCTACTTGCCTAAGAGGTTGGCTCCATTCCTTTATCTGGGCCTCAGTTTCTCCATCTCTTACATGAGGGGGCTGGATCCTCTCTCCAGATACTAGGCAGTCCCCAGGTCTCTGTTCACTGTATGTGAAGTAATGAGCACAGTGGTAGCCAACACATGTATAGCCCTTCCTGCACTGTTCTAAGCACGTTATAAATGTTGATCCTCTGAAGTCAACACTCTTTCTGTCCCCATTTTATAGTCAGGAAACAGAAGCAAGTGATGTTGACTAATTTGCCCATGGTCACATTACCTTCAAGTGGTCAAGTCAGGAGTTGAACCCTGGTGATCTGGCTCCACAACCCTTGCTGCTGGCTGTCTTAAAATAAGACCTTTCTGGCGGCAGATGGACTACTGTTGAGCAGAGTGCAGTAGATGTGATGTCAGAGGGCTCAGGTTTGAGTTTTGGATTCATCATCTGGGTGACCTTGGGAAAGTCTCTCAATTTTTGGAGCCTCCATCTTCTCATCAATGAAATGGAGCTAGTTGGACCCATGCTGCTGATCTGCCAGAGTATGCAGGGAATTTGAGGTGATGATTATTTATGAAGAAGCTCAGGACCAAGACAAGCAGACTCCTTGCATAGGTTTTCATTATTAGTCCCATATCTCACATCCCCTACTCCCACCCTCAGTTCTGGAGTTGTTAGTTAGGTCTGCTTTTACTAGGGAGGGACTCCAGAAGGAAGGTCCAGTTGGAATGCTGACAGCTCCAAAGCCACCTCTTTGGCCTAGAAATGGGGTTCAGGGGACTAGCAGTGACTTTTTAGCAGCCTTGAGTCAGCTGCCCAGAGTGGACAGCCCTTTGAGAGCCAGCACTTCCTCCCCACCCCTGTGAGGCATCTGGGTATAGGTGGAGCCTTGTGGGAAACTGGCCTCAGCCACCAATTCCAGACTTCCATCCATCTGACTCCTTGGCACTGTCCGAGTATCTAAGAGACATCTCCAATTTAATCCACCCAAACAGAACTCTTGATTTCCCCCTTGAAATCTACTCTTCCCTAGGCCTTTTCTGTCTCACTGAGGGGCATAACCCAGATTTCTCAGCCTAAAACCCTCCATTCACCTTTTTCCTTCACAACTCGTATCCAAGCCACGTGCAAATTATGTGGACTCTCTGATTCTATCTCCATATTATTTTCTGACTCTGCTCTCTTTTCTCCACCTTGCTACACCATCAAGAGTCAAGGGAGAGATGCTGGTAGCCACCATCATTGTTTACTTAGTCTACTTAGGCAACCCCAACCCACCACCCTCTGGGTACGTTGCCCCTGCCACCCCTTGACACAACCAGAGGGATCTGCCTGGGAACATACTTCATCAATCCCCTGCTTAAAACCCTCTATGGCTTCCAATTAGACAATGCCAAAGCTCTTTACATGGTGTCCAGACCCTCCAAGATGCATTGAACCATCTGGCCTCATCTTCCACCACTCTTTCTCTTGCACATTTGTTCCTGCCATCCTGGTCTTCTCTCTGTTTCTTAAGCAAGCTAAGCAAGCTCTTTCCTACCACAGAACTGTGGCACCAGCCTCTTCCGTGCCTGGAAGGCTTTACCCTCAGATGTTCCTGGGGCCAGCCCTTTGTCATCATTCAGGTTCCAGTTCAAATGTCCTCTTCCCAGAAAGCCTTCCCTGACCACCCTGTCTAAAGTCATTACCTGCTCCCACTCACTCTTCTCGACACCTCTGTTGTTTTCTCCAAGGATTTATCAACTGACATTGTCATGTTTATATAATTGTTCAGTTGTTCACCATCTGCCCCCTTCACTAGAATAATAATGAGGGCTGAGACACGTGCATGTTTTCACAGTAATATTTACACTGTACCACCAGTGGGGGCTGGGGGAAATCTGGCACATAAAAAGCACTCAATAAGTAGTTGTAAAATGAATCTAAAAGTGTGCTATGTCCTAGAACAAGTTAACTCTCTAGGCTTTGATTTGTCCATAGATAAAATAAAGGGGAATGAAATGAGTTGTATCGAAGGATTCTGTTCATTCTCACATTTTCTGAATCTCTGGACCCACAAGTTGCTCCTGGGATGGATGGATGGATGGATGGATGGATGGATGGATGGATGGATGGGTAGATGAGTAGACGGATGGGTGGATGGGTGGATGGATGGATAGATGGATGGATGGGTAGATGGGTGGATGGATGGATGGATGGATAGATGGATGGATGAATGAATGAATGGGATGGTTTCTGGGGGTTTTATTGAAGACACCTGGGACAGAGGAGGTTATCAGGAGCAAGGTGGAGGCTGGGAAAGGGGGCAAATAACTCCAGTCAGAATGGGCTTCTTTTACCCCAATTGAGAGAGAAGCACAATCCCCCACTTTCCTCTCTGCCCACTCCACAGGCCATCTTTCCCCATGGCTGCACCAGGGGAGGTGGCAGCAGCAGCTGCCTGCCCACCACCAGGAGCTCCACCTAGGAGATAAAAGGAGCCGAAGGAATGTGCTGGCAAAGCTGACGTCCCTGTCTTCTCAAGGGTGTAAATGGCTTTCCTGCTCCCACAGGTTCAAAGAGCACTTCATTTCACAGCAAAAGTACAGCTAATGAGAAACAGATTCTCTGGCTCCAGCTAGAGTTCGGAGAGCCTAGGAGACAAAGGAAAGCCCCCAAGAACCTGGATGTGAACGTGTGCGCTAAGGGGCCCTTTCCTCCCTCTCCCTCTGGGGCCACAGAGCTATTTCAATGGCAGGGGAAGGGGCAAGAGCAATGTCCCCATTGGCAGTTAAGAGGAGCCTTCAGAACGGGGCTTCTGAGCTGTGGGTCTTCCAATCATGCTGAGTTCTTTTTAGGCCTGAAAGCCAAGCCAGGCAATGCCTAATAATAATAACAACAGTTTCCTTGTACTGAGAACTGCCAAGGCGTAACCTGTGTGGTGGCACAGTGGGAAGGCCAAGGGCTTTGAGGCCACAAGGCCTGGTTTGTGGACTCTGGTCCTCAGTTTCCTGTGGGCAAGAAGCACACTGGTGGTGATCAGTGAGAACACTGCTCTTCATTGGGAAGTGAAAATAACACTATATGGAGGTCCCGAGGACCTAGGTTCTAGCCTTGGTTCAGCCAAGGGTGATTTTGGGCAAGGCAGGCTGGGGCCATGAGCCTTGGATAGCAAAAAGGACTTACCTTAAAATTTTGATTCTTCTCATTTGGGCAAGTCACTTGGCATTTCTGAGCATGTATTTTCTCAACTGTAACCAGTACAAGTAACAACCTCATGGTATGTGGTAAGAGTCAAATGAGAAGAGACACGTAAACTACTAGCACTTGGTAGATGTTTGAGGCCAGGGATGGAGCCCAAAGGCCTTAGAGGGAACAGGGCAATCTGTGACCAAACCAGAAGACAAACTCAGGCTGGACTCACAGCCAAACAATACAGTGAAAGATAACCATTGTAGAGTGGGTACAATATCCCGTGCTCTGTGCTGTAGATCTTAGTCTATCCTCACAAAAAGCACATGGGGCAGTTACTTCCATTGCCCTTAAATAACTAAAACCAGGACTTAAACTGAAAAGACTGGACTCCAGAGTGTGTGCTAAGTTAGTAGGCTATTCTTCAAAGTTTCTCTGCAGCGTCTCCCCTCTGCTCTGGGTATCTGTCTGCTTCCTGGGGTCCCATTGTCAGCAGACGCAAAGTGCCCAAACTGGGTAGCCAGCTGTCCCCTTGTCCCCTTCACTTTTTTTTTTTTTTTTTAGACACAGAGTCTTGCCCTGTTACCCAGGCTGTAGTGCAGTGGCCACAGTCATAGCTCACTGTAACCTCAAACTCCTGGGCTCAAGCCATCCTCCCACCTCAGCCTCCTGAGCTCCCGATTCGCTGGGACTACAGGAATGTGCTACCACACATGGCTTTTTTTTTTTCCTTTGTAGAGATGGGGTCTTACTGTGTTGCTCAGGCTAGTCTTGAACCCCTGGCCTCAAGCAATCCTCCCACCTCGGACTCCCAAAGTGCTGATATTACAAGTATGAGCCACCATGCTCAGCCTCAATAAATAAGTGTTATACAGTGTTCATTTCTTGAACATTTACTATATGCTGGGCATTTGGATACAATGGGGAACAGAACACACACACACACACACACACACACACACACACACACCCCCCTATCCTCATGGAACTTATATTCCATTGAAGTGGTGGAGAAAAGGAACAAATGGACAAATGAGATTTTAAACATCAAGTCACAGTTTCACCAGTATTTGTTTATCAAAGGTTAGTAAGATACTCATCTGTGGACTCTAAAGAAGTTTAGTTCTTGCATTATGCCTTATAATATTTAATACCAACTGCATGCTAGGAATTATTCCAGGAATTGAGATGAAAAAGATGAATAACATGTGTACCTTACCTTTGGTGAAGTCCTATTCTAGGAGAGAAATAGACATATTGAGTAATTTTAGTATATGGTGCTAATAACTGTTTTAGAGGAATCCCCATCTGCCCAGAACCTCAAAAAGGGTTTGAGGGAAGAACCAGAAGAAGCCTAAGGAAGGCTTCATAGAGAAGGTGATAGCTGAGCCTGTCCTTGGAAGATGAAGCTGATCTTCTGTCCACTAGATAAAAATGGAAGTCAAGACTTCCTGGAATGAGGAGCAGAGACAGAAGCAAGAATAGGCATAGTATGTTTGGGAACAGAGAATAGTCCATTTTTTTTTTCCTGCCTCAGGTTTATTTGTACAAATAGCATAGGAGGACCCCAGTCCCATGCAGATGGCAGCGTGAGGGTCTCACCAGTCCTTCTGTCCCTCACGTTGGCAGACAGAGATATCTACTCCAAAGCCTTTGTAGGATCCTGGGCACCTTTGAGACCCTAAGCTGGAACTGAAGCTGGAGCTGCTGCCTGGGCCTTGGTTTGATCCTTGGCCTTGGCCTTTGGCCAGCACAGCCTGAACCCCTTGGCAATGCAGACACCAGCATGTTTCCCAAGCTTTGGGTAGGCAGTGTAGGCAAGTCAGTCGAGCTTGTGGCTGACACCTTTGGGATCTTCAACTTTACCTCCTTGGGCTTTACAAGGGCCTTGATAGCCTTGCCACTCGCACTCATGGCCTTGGTGTTGTTGGCCTGTGTCTTCTTTAGGCCTTTCTTCTTGTGCTTCTTGGCAAAGCACATGTTCCTCAGGAACTTGCGGTCCCCCCACTTAAGAGATTTGTATCTTTGTGATCGGGGTTTCTTGATACCATTTCTGTGCCATTTTCGGGACTGGTTGTGTGTGGTGTAATTCTTGGAGTTGGCCACATCTGTACCTTAAACTGTGGCTCTTGAAGCGCCAAGAACCAGAAGAGCCAGGGGCAGCAGAGAGCCGTCATTTTTATGTGGGTAAAGAATAAGTTGGATGTAGAGGAGACATGGGACAGGAGAGAATAATATTATTAGGAACCCTGGGTGCCAGCAGGTAAGTCATGTGGAATTGTGGGACATCTCTAAGGATGTGATCAGTCACGCATGTATTTTATCCTCTGTCTTCCTGTTCATTGATCCTGTCTTTGCCTATGGCTAAAGTTATATTAAACCTATCTCTTGGACACTTAAAATGAGTTATTTCATCGTTCAAGTCTGGAGTTTCCAGCTGATTTTTTTTTTTTTTTTGGTCATAGTACCAAGGTTGTATTTTTGTGTTTACTTCCTTAGGCTCACAGCTGCTGAAAAAGCCAAAGTCCCCATCAGCAGGTTTGCTAATTTTTTTTTTTTTTTTTTTTTGGTCAGCTTCATTTCTATGTGGAAATTTTCCATCTTTTTCATTTATTTCCTTGAACATATAAATCAATTGTTATAGTCTATGGCTAAAGATGCCCACCTCGGGTCCTACCAGTGACCACCCCTTGCTCAAAGAAGCAGTCTATAGTCTTTCCCTTGGCAGAGCATTGAGGTCAGAACAGTGTTCCTTTAAAGCACACGGTGGACATAGCAGAGATCATGGTGGACTTGGTAAGCAGAATCTGGGGTGATTCCCATGGAGAGGGCAGGGCAGCAGGGAGGGCCCTAGAAGGAGATGTGGGAGAATATTCAGGGAAAGGCCATAGACTCCCCAGCTTGGGCCCCTCTGTAGTAACTGCCTACTCGCCAAACTGGGAGTAGCACAGCACCAATCACTCTCCACCCCACCCTGCTCCAGCTGGGAAAGACATCCTGGCTGTGTAAACTAACCTTATGAGTCTTATTCCAAGAAGGCCAAGGAATTTGACAGGAAACAACACAAGCTAGTCACCTCAAATCTTTGTCTGGGTTTAATGTGATTGGATCTGAAATAGCTACAGAGAGCCTCATTCTTAAATGTGTTGAACCCACATGGATACACGTACATTTGCATGCACAAACAGGAAGGTTTAAGATGAGGCCACCACGGGGTGAGGCCATACTAGGCCTTCATGCAGAAACTGAAACTAAAGCTTCCATTTCAAATCAGATCCCCGGTGGAAGGTGTTTGACAGGCCTTGTCAGTCAGACTCCTGCAGTCTGTCTCCACAGCCAAGAATCCTTCACCTCTCTCCCCACTGTTCAGCTTGACCATTCTTGGGAGTTGGAGGCAGCTCAGCAATGGATGTTTTCAAGTGCAGAGTGAGCTATCTCTGCCAAGAGCTTGTCTTGCCAGCCACTTCCTGGCCCCAGCCCTCAGCTTGCCCAAGTCTGACATCACCCATAACCCCCACCACCACCCCCAGAATAAAGAGCCACCTCAGAGGCTGGGACTGCCAGACCTGGTCCCCCACTCCTTCCTGGACATGTCCGGCTGACAAATCATAGAAGGAGCATCCATTCTAGCCACATGCACAGCCCTCACTGCTTAGGGTGGACTGACTACCCCAGATCACCACTGCCTAAACAGACCTCATTCATCTGATATGGGAGAGATGGGTGATGTCAGG